GAGACTGAGTGTTGCTGCTCAATGTTTTGCACGTAATGAGTGGGATTCGTTGGCTGTTTTTCTTGCTTGAATATACACGCTCAGGCGATGTTTTCTGATCAATCATCTTCGAGCAAAAGTTTTGGCTCGAAGAACATCCGCTCAGTGCGGCTAAGATTTCGCAATATGCGCACTGAATCGCTCTCTCGAATGATGGTCTCCCATATTACGAGGTTGAGTTTCAGCTGAGAAACAAAGCCACTAAAGGAAGCGACATTTCAAAGTTACCAACCTAATAGATTTTGCAATAAAATAGCAAAGAAAAGAGAAGGAATTTTCACTACACACGAGAAGTTGACTTCAGGATGGAAACCCTGTCAAAATTCTTCACTAATATGACCTCAGACCAGCAGGACAAATACAACACAGCTCTCTGGTGTCCTTCGACTTCCACTGTTTTGCTCTATTCAACCATTAAATTATGCCGGTCTCTATTAAGAATTGTCGGTCCAGCGAGGAGCAGAAAAGGTTAGCGGTATCAACATAAACTATACAGTAAAAGAAGTAAACTTCAAAATTTTCGTACAATTCTTGGAATTTTTAAATGCAAGAATTATCTGCATAAGCATAAAATTCTCCACCCTCTATTTCTACAATTGGACAAAATATTTGAACTTAACTAGCAAGTCATTTGAAGGAGAAATCCAAACATCAAATCTCCGAAAGGCACGTACCTAAAAATTCTACCCATAAGCCTGGGGCTCCGATACGTGGGGTCATAGTCATTGCCGAAATGGAAGTCTGGCTGGCGCTCGCTTTTCTCCGGTGGGATCTCCTTGCCAGTCTCCTCATCTGAATAATATCACCTCAAAGTATGCGTTCATGGCCACGTTGCCACACATTTGTGCCGAAGCTGGAACGCGACATATGGATGCGGTCGAAACACTTAAAGGAATCTTCCACGGAAAAAGCTCCGCCTCCATTACCACAGAAAAACGATACCCCTTAGGCCCCTAGCCTCATGAGCATAGCAAAAAGAACGGAACATAAGCGTTAGTTTCGATAATACTAATCCTACACACAAGACAAAATGATCACTCTTTCCGTGGAAGATTCCTTTAAGGTATCGTTTTCTGTGGTAATGAGGGCGGAGCTTTTTCCGTGGAAGATTCCTTTAAGGTATCGTTTTCTGTGGTAATGGGGGCGGAGCTTTTTCCGTGGAAGATTCCTTTAATGTATCGTTTTCTGTGTTATTGGGG